TACACGTGGTTGTAACCCCGCCTACTACATATATCCTGCCATGTTGTTGCCAGGAAAATTGTATCAAATACTACCATAATTTTCCTTTCCTTTCACCAACCCATGGCAGCATACATGTGGTTGTAACCCCGCCTACTACATATATCCTGCCATGTTGGTGCCAGGAAAATTGTATCAAATACTACCATAATTTTCCTTTCCTTTCACCAACCCATGGCAGCATACATGTGGTTGTAACCCCGCCTACTACATATATCCTGCCATGTTGGTGCCAGGAAAATTGTATCAAATACTACCATAATTTTCCTTTCCTGGTGCCAATCCATGGCAGCATACATGTAGTAGGCAAGACTACTACCACATGTATACTGCCATGTTGGCACCAGGAAAAAAAAAACTGGTAGGTCAACTAGCTTCACCCAGACCTGCCCTTGTTGGGTTCTCCATAGGGCTGTGAGAGGAACATTAGATTGTAAGCTCCTTTGGTGCTCTGACAGAAATATTTCACTATTGCTATGGAATAGACTGCCACTGGAAATGAGTAGTAGATGCCCACAGTCCGAAATGCAAAATGTATGATTTATGACATTTTTTGAATGCTCAAAGTCAAGGGACAAAAACCTGGGACTGTCCCTGGAAATCAAGGTTGTCGCTGAAGCCCAGATGCCTCCTTCCTATGGCTGTATATTTTTACTAAAACAGGTCCTGATTTATGACGGCTAAAGTTGTCCTGAGTGGGTCTGTTGCAAAAAAAAACGTCCAGGTCGTCTAACACCCCGGTCACATCAAGCCCCACTTTGAAATTGTGCGACTTACAGTGAAGTCGCACGATTTCAAAGTCGGGGGACTTGCTGATTTCAAGTGAGATTTGTAAGACTTCTGACACAGATGTCTATGCAAATCGCACCAAAAGTAGGACATGTACTACTTTAGAAATCGAACCAAGTCAGAACCGCGACGATTTGACTGCTGTAATTTCGGACAATAAGGTGCGACTTGGCATACAATTTTCAAGTTGCATGGCATGCAAATTGCAGGCCAAGTCGCACCCAATGTGACTGGGGTGTAAGGATCAGATTTATGAAAGAAGGAATAAACTTTGAGCTGTTGCCTATAGCAACAAGATTCCTATTTTGAAGTTAGAAGGTTGTCGTGTCTCTTCCATACAATTCTGCAAAAAAAGACTTTAAAAACATATTAAAGTGGCCCTATCAGTCATTTTACAAGTCTGCATGAATAAATTCCTGACACGTCTACAGCAACAGCATAATTCTTCAGAAAAACATTCCTGGACTCCCAGGCAAGGAATTTCGTCTAGGCAAAGTTGGTGTCACCAGGCTTCAGCAGGCTTTTTTTTTTTCTTCAATCTGTCTCATTTTGGAGATTTCCCGTCACTTCCAGCCAAAACAAGAAGTGAGAAGAAATCCCTGAAAATGAGGGGAAACCCTTGCCCCCCAGCTCACCAGAACTAGTGTCCGCACTGGATGATTCCTAGTGACAACCCAAAATTTGGGATTTTCTTCTTTTACTTTCACTTTCAGCCCAGGTTCACACTATGCGTTGCAGGACATCGCATGTAATTCGCACAGGAATCGCACCGCATTCCTGTGCGAATTACATGCAAACAGGGGTGGACTGACAACTCATGGGGCCCCCGGGCAATAGGGGATCATGGGGTGTCCTTGCCCAAACGCAAAAAAAGCCTATGAAAAAGGTACCAGGGGTATCTCATGGGGCCCCCTACTGACCCCAGCCCTCAGGCAGTGCCCGAGTTTCCAAATGGTCAGTTTGCCCCTGCATGCAAATGTCTGTGCGGTGCGATTTGAGCCATACATTTTGTATGCCTCAGATGGCATTGCATCCGCACTAAAACGGCGCAGGACCCTTGTTTAAATCCGCATCTGAATCACATTGCATGGGTGTTCTCACCCATGCAATGCAATTTCTGGAAATCGCATCGCGTTTTGTGATCTGTTTCAGGGTGCCATTAATTTATCATTGACACCTGTACTAGATCGCATGAACACAATGCGATTGCAATGCGGCGTTGGAAACGCACAGGATTCGCAGCATTTCCCGCACTGCATTGGTGTGAACCCAGGCTGAATGACAATGGTAAAAACGGGTAAAAAGAGAGGGCGAATCTCCCTAAGGTTAGGTTCACACCTATACAATTTGCATTTGATCTGTTTCTGCATTTTTGCACTTGTGTTTTTGACACATTTTTGATGCTTTAAATTTTTTAATTTTCTGTTGCCGGGCAGATTTAAAACGCAAAACGTGGCACAAACGCACTACATTCTTTTCTACAGCGCTTCCATTGACGTCTATAGAACCAAAAAAGCTGCTTTTTGCGTTAAAAAAGTCCCTGACCCTTTCCAAAAAACGCATTGGGTGGAAATGCAAAGATGTGAACATGTCCCATAGAAAAGGATGTTAAATGGACTGTACTGCATTTCTGCAAAACGCTGCGGCAAAAACGCTTAGGTGTGAACCTAGAGTAACAGGGGCACAGACAGCAATAAAAACTGACAGCGGTTCTAATCCCCCTTCACTCCATCCAAAACAAACAAAGAAAAACAAACAAAAAGTTTTGCCTTTATTTATACTAACCTTACAGTGAAAATTTTCCATATTTAATTCCCAAAAAGGTGCCATAAAAATTTTCCTGAATGATTTGACAGCAAAATTATGTAAGGAAGTGTAACTTATTGACTGAAAATCACCTGGGATGCATGTGGTTGTAAACCTCACATGAGATATGAACAAAGCATATCCCTCTAGAGTGTGTACTTGTCTCAGTCCAGAGCACTAGGTGTCATTTCTCTCTGCTGCTTTGTTCCTCTGCTATCTGCATGAATCACTTTTGATAACTTTTCATGACACCAAGAGAAAAAGGGTGACAGGATGAGGGACCTTCAGCAGACCTTAGATTGCACGCCCCTTGAGTGTTAGGGACTGATGTGAATGTACAATATATATGTAAAGTTTTGCGCAGGGACGGACTGACAATTCATGGGGCCCCCGGGCAATAGGGGATCATGGGGCCTCTGTGTCCTTGCCCAAACTCAAAAAAGCCTATGAAAAAGGTACCAGGGGCATCTCATGGGGCCCCCTACTGACCCCGGGCCCTCGGGCAGTGCCCGAGTTTCCAAATGGTCAGTCCGCCCCTGGTGCTGTGTAAATTGATGGCGCTATATAAGTACCTGAAATAAATAAATAAATAAATTTACAGCCTCAGTTCTGTTCCTGTGTGAAGGGGAGTGTGTCTCTTCCCTCCAATCAGCTTTTATTTCTCTCCTCACTGAGCTCTGCAGAGTCTAATTTCAGCTCCCTGCCCTCTTTTTTCTGAACTCTCAGACAAGCTTTGTAAATTCAGTACTTTGAACAGATGCAGAGGAGAAATCGCACAGATAAACAAGTACAACTTATGTAGGAAGATTTGCGTCATCTCTGTGTATCACCTGAGACCAGTTACATCATTGGGTATATGTAAGGCCTCATTCACACCATACGTACAGAAACTCTGATGGAAACTGACAGGCAGATTTCACATTTCATCAGTTTTCATGCACGCTGCACTGAGTTGCATACATGCTGCAAATTCCTGGGCAGAAAAATGGTGCTAGTGTTGTGGAGTGAAACAGGACACATAGAGAACAATTGAGTTTGTTGTGCCTTTGCAGAACGTGTGCAGAAAAACTGACGGCTCTGCACCATGGTGTGAATGAGCCCCAAGTCGCTGTTCACACCACTGGGATTCAAAATTGTGTGATTTGTGCGCAATTTCAGTGCAATTTCAGGTGCGATCTCTAAAGACTTTATTGCTACTTGTGAAGATTTTCAACGATTTCTTACAGTGAAGTCGCACGATTTCAAAGTCGGGGGACATGCCGATTTCTGGTGCGATTTGTAGGACATCTGACACAGATGTCTATGCACATTGCACCAAAAGTAGTGCATGTACTACTTTAGAGATTGGTGCGACTCCGACCAAGTCAGAACCGCACCGATTTGACCGCTGTAATTGCGGACAATAGGGTGCGACTTAGCATACGATTTGCAAGTCGCAGGGCATGTAAATTGCAGGCCAAGTCGCAGCCAATGTGACCGGGGTTTAAAGTCTTCAGAAATCGCTTCTGAATTTGGACAAAAGTCATGTGATTTTAAAACGCAGCAGTGTGACCGGTGACTAAAACCGGTGACCCAGATGCCTCCTTCCTATGGCTGTATATTTTTACTAAATCAGGTCCTGATTTATGACGGCTAAAGTTGTCCTGAGTGGGTCTGTTGCAAAAAAAAATGTCCAGGTCGTCTAACACCCCGGTCACATCAAAACCAATTTTGAAATCGTGCGACTTACAGTGAAGTCGCACGATTTCAAAGTCGGGTGACTTGCCGATTTGAGGTGCGATTTGCAAGACATCTGACACAGATGTCTATGCAAATCGCACCAAAATTGGTGCATGTACTTCTTTAGAAATCGGTGCAGCTCCGACCAACTTGGAACCTCACCGATATGACCGCTCTAATAAAGGACAATAGGGTGCGACTTGGCATACGATTTGCAAGTCGCATGGCATGCAAATCGCATACCAAGTCGCACCCGATGTGACCAGCGTACTTTAGGAATCACGCTGCAGCAAATCGCACGTTAAGACACTGACATTAACATTCATTAGATGCGATTTCAGGTGTGATTTCATTTTGCAAAATTGCACTGGTATAACTGGGCACTAACACCCCGGTCACATTGGGTGGGACTTGGCATGCGATTTGCATGCCATGTGACTTGCGAGTCGTATGCCAAGTCGCACCCTATTGTCCGCAATTGCAGCGGTCAAATCAGTGCGGTTCTGACTTGGCCGCTGCCGCACTGATTTCTAAAGTAGTACATGTTCTACTTTTGGTGCGATTTGCATAGACATCTGTGTCAAATGTTTTGCAAATCGCACCTAAAATCGGCATGTCCCCCGACTTTGAAATCGTGCGACTTTACTGTAAGTCACACGCAGGGGCGGACTGACCATTTGGAAACTCGGGCACTGCCCGAGGGCCCGGGGTCAGTAGGGGGCCCCATGAGATGCCCCTGGTACCTTTTTCATAGGCTTTTTTGAGTTTGGGCAAGGACAAAGGGGCCCCATGATCCCCTATTGCCCGGGGGCCCCATGAGTTGTCAGTCCGCCCCTGGTCACACGATTTCAAAGTCGGGCTTGATGTGACCGGGGTGTTAGGGATTACAACCACTTTAAAGTGGAACTAAATCCTCCTATTGTTATCACCAAAGAAGCCGCCATCTGAGCCTCTGTGTGATCCGCCAACTGCCATGGTGCTGCACATGTGATCCGTTATGACCCCAGACATTTGATGGTTTGACAGTTTTCTTGAAAGCACAAGCCATTGTGACAGTTATATTCTTGGCATGCCGGGAATGTAACTGGTTTTTGAAACTGTAAATTGATGGTATTAGTTGTGTGGAAAAAATCTCATCAATTTAACGGTTTCAGAATTCAGTTACATTCCCGGCATGCCAAGAATATAACTGTCACAATGGCTTGTGCTTTCAAGAAAACTGTCAAACCATCAAATGTCTGGGGTCATAACGGATCACATGTGCAGCACCATGGCAGTTGGCGGATCACACAGAGGCTCAGATGGCGGCTTCCTTGGCTGATAATGACAGGAGGGTGTAGTTTGGTTTTAAAGTGAAATTCACCTTTTCACGAAAAAAATTAAGTGAACTAATACAGTAGCCCCTCCCCAACCCAAGCCTGAGAGTCTGGCATAACCCTCCCTCCCCGAAACACTTACACCCCAATGGTGAGTACTTTCCGGAACGGCATCCAGCCGCTGCGTATCTCAACCTGCATTGATTTCACTGGCTGACACCAGAGTCCCGCACACTGCGCCTCCCCTGCACCCCACAACACGGGCTATTACACTGCAGGAGCCAATGTTTCGGCAATGGCGAGTGACGGTGGAGGAAATTAAGTCTCTTCTTAGGAAGGCCCTGGAGAGGAGGGTTGTTGAATCTACCTTTAGCAAGCCATTGGTCTTGAGGGATTGCCCAGGCCCGGTTATGAGGGAGGGTCTGCGTTTAATGAATCTGGAGAGAATCCCTTTAAAGTTTCGGGATTTGACCTGGCTCTCGTTCCATGGCAGACTCTATGTGAAGGGCAACCTGAAGCATCGCTCTGCGGAGAACCATGGTTGTCCAAGAATGGAGTGCGGTGGGGTGGTGGAGATGATGGACCATTTCTTGCTTCAGTGCCCCTTCAATATAGATGTCTACAAGCGGGTGGGTGGGGCTCTGGGGATCCCTTTCCTTTCCCGCTTGAGTTACGCGGAGTGGTCTAACGGAGCCTTTCAGACTCGCCGGGACTTTGATTTTGAGATACTTTTTCTAGTTAGCTTAGAAGTCCGTTACTACACGTGGAATGCACGGTGTCAGGTTTACATTTGCAAAAAAGTCCTTCCTGTCGAGGTGGTGGTGAACAACATTCCGGGTGAGGTTGGGAAGATTCGGGGTCTTAAGAAGGACAGGTGGCGGCTGGGAGTCTGGATAAAGGCGTGGAGGAATGTCAGGTCCCCGTAGCTGTTGTCTGTCAGTCTCTGGGGGCGTGGCTTCTCTTTCAGTCCTTTCACGTCCCCTAGATTTTTGTACCATCAGATTTTTGAAGAAAGGCTGCATGCATGGGATCAATGTTTCATCGTCGTTTCTTAGCCTGAGGGTGTGTCTAGGTGACGGTCAGGATTTGTTAGTACTTTGCTGAAGTAAGCTGGTTTTGTTTAACTATATATATTTTATTCTGTATATATGTAAATATGATTTTTATGATGTCATTTGTTTGCAAGATTTTAATAAACAAAAAATTTACACTGCAGGAGCCAGACTTCCTGTGTGCAGGAGCCCTAACCCACCGAGGGCCACACAGAGGGAATGAAAGAGCCACATGCAGGGGCGGACTGAACATTTGGAAACTCAGGCACTGCCCGAGGGCCCGGGGTTAGTAGAGGCCCCATGAGATGCCCCTGGTACCTTTTTTATAGGCTTTTTTGAGTTTGGGCAAGGACACAGGGGCCGCATGATCCCCTATTGCCCAGGGGCCCCATGAGTTGTCAGTCCGCCCCTGGCCACGTCACCCGTAAAACATGTCTACTGTAAACCCTTAGGGCCCGCTCACTATACATTTCGGTTTAGGCTACGCTCACATTTGAAATCATGGGCAGAACTCCTGCGATTCTACCCACCACTCCAAATCGTCAAATCGTGGCAGAACGCATGACACACACTTGCGTGACATTATTCTACATGACACCCCAAGTGCTGTGCGATTCTGCTGTGATCATCGAGCAACAAAATCGCACATCACGGCAAAATTCTCAGTTAAAAAGCACACTAAGCTTGTCGTCCCAAACGACAAACACACATAGAGCAGACTATTGACATGAAAGGACCTCCCTGTGTGTGACACGCATTGCCCTGTGTAAATCACATTATATAAAAGGTTTGGACGGGGCACTAGGCCTGGTTCGCCTCTGCGTGTCGTGATCAACGTTTTTGCAGCGATTTGCCTTTTTTCCCCCGTTTTTGACAATTGGAAATTATTAACTTTCATGTGACTTTGGATGGCTGCAATTTTCGATGTGACTTTGGATGGGTGTGACTTGGATGGGTGCAATTTGGATGCGACTTTGGCAGAGTGCGACTCTGATGCACCGTTGGATGGATGCAACTTGGATGGGTACAACTTGGTTGTGACTTTGGGTGAGTGCTACTTGGAAGCAGGGGCGGACTGACCATTTGGAAACTTGGGCACTGCCCGAGGGCCCGGGGTCACTGGGGGCCCCATGGGATGCCCCTGGTACCTTTTTCATAGGCTTTTTTTTAGTTTGGGCAAGAACACAAGGGCCCCATAATCCCTTATTCCCCGGGGGCCCCATGAGTTGTCAGTCCGCCCCTGCTTGGATGTGACTTTGGATGGATGCAACTGTGATATGGCTTTGGATGGGTGCGAATTGGATGTGACTTTGCATTGGTGCAACTTTATGTGACTTTGGATGGGGGCGACTTGGATGTGACATTGGATGGATGCAACTTTATGGGACTTTGGATGGGGGCGACTTGGATGTGACTTTGGATGGGTGCAACTTTATGTGACTCTAGATGGGGGTGACTTGGATGTGAGTTTGGATGGGTGCAACTTGGATGCGACTTTGAATGAATGTAACTTGGATGCGAATTTGATGCAACTTGGATGCAACTTTTCTATTTGGATGCAACTTTGAATGGATGTGACTTTGGATGGATGCAACTTTAATGCAACTTTGGATGAATGTGACTTTGATGTGACTTTGGATGGATGTGACTTTGGATGGATGTGACTTTGGATGGATCCAACTTTGATGTGACTTTGGATGGATGCAACTTTGGATGGATGTGACTTTGATGTGACTTTGGATGGATGCAACTTTGGATGGATGTGACTTTGATGTGACTTTGGATGGATGTGACTTGGATGTAACTTTGGATGACAGGCTTTGATGCAACTTTGGATGGATGCAACTTGGATGTAACATTGCCACTTGGATGTAACATTGCCACTTGGATGTAACTTTGCCACTTGGATGCAACTTTGAATGAGTGCGACTTTGATGCGACTTTAGATGGGTGTGACTTAGATAAGATTTTTTTCAACTTTATGGGAAGTGCTCAGAGACACTGATTCATGTCACGGCACACAGACGCACAAACGTTGTCACCCCATACCAGACCTGAGCGAGCACCTCCATGGCAGGATCACATTACCGGATATTATTTTATTGAATTCAAAATACAGAAAACATGAACATTAAACAACCCTGAACCCGACTTCCGGAACAAGTCCAGCATGTACGGGAGCTTCGTGATTGTGTTTACATCTCCTTGGCTTTACGGCCTCCTGTGTTGCCTATAGCAACCAATCAGATGCGTCCCTTTATTTCCAGCATTTGCAGCAACAAACCCAGCTGCAACGCGATTGGTTGCTCCGGGTAACGCCCCCACTTCCCTCCTCTAGCTGCGCCAGTCGCCCCTAGCAACAACATTTAACCCGCACTCTATCCCGCCCCCAATCAGCGTTGCCGACGGAGGCGGCGTCATTTCCGGCGGCTGTAGGGCTAGGCTGTTCGGATCCGTCCGGAGGAAGCGGGTCGGCCATCTTGGATGGTGTAGTAGCAGCACGGAGGGGGCAGAGCGGTCCAACCGGGGGGGGGAAGAGACACCGGCGGCCGCCCCCAGATGTTCAGGGAAGCCCGAGCAGCCATCCGGGCTCGGCGTACAGCGACAGCGGCCTAGGCTGCCTCCCGGCCCGGGAGAGTGTGTGAGCCTCGCCCCAGGAACCCTTCACCCGGGGCCTGTGTGATTGGTTGCCCTGTGGCCGTTCTCCTGGCTGCGCTGTGCCCAGAGAGGAGGATGTGAGCTCCGTCCTCAGCGCTGTGTGTAGAGAATGAGTCCCCGGGAGACCCCAGGGTGTCAGCTGCGGTGAGAGCCCCGTCCTTCCAGCTTCACACCGGGGATCTGATCTGTAACCACTATCCCCACCGCTTCCTCCATCACCGACCACCACAAGGGAACGCCATGTCCACCAGAACCCCTCTGCCCACCGTCAACGAGCGCGACACCGAAAACGTAAGTCCACCGAACCCCAGTTCCGACTGTTGGTACCCCGGGGGGCGCTGAGGGGTCCACAACTACTTTTCGGGGATTAAAAGGGTCACATCACTCACTTTGTTGGGTTTTGAGGGTGATCGCCATATTTGGGGCCCTATAACCCGACTTGTCTGTACCCGGTGCTGCGCTGAGGGGTCAAGAATGATATTTTGGGGTTCTAAAGGATCCTGCTGTTCATCTTGTTGGGTTTTTAAAGTTCTAAATACTCCCACTGTTCATTCATTCAGGTTTTTTGGGGAATCACTGTACTTTGGGGTTCTATAATGTGATCTATCTGTTCCCAGGGCTGCGCCGAGGGGTCAAGAATTATTGAGGTTCTCAATGGTCATGCCGCTCATCTTGTTGGGTTTTTGAGGTTCTAAACGGGCTCGCCGCTCACTTTGTTGTGTTTTGGGGGTGATCGCTGAATTTTGGGGTCCTGTAACCTGATTTGTCTGTACCTGGGGCTGTGCTGAGGGGTCAAGAATGATATTTTGGGGTTCTAAAGGGTCATGCTGTTCACCTGATTGGGTTTTTAAGGTTCTAAATAGTCTCACTGTTCATTATTTCAGGTTTTGGAGGGATCACTGTATTTTGGGGTCCTATATTGTGATCTGTTTGCATTCAGGGCTGCGCCAAGGGGTCAAGAATTATTTTGAGGTTCTCAATGGTCATGCCGCTCATCTTGTTGGGTTTTCAAGGTTCTAAACTATTTCACCACTTGGTTTGTTGTGTTTTGGGGGTGATCGCTGCATTTTGGGGTCCTGTAACCGGATGTGTCTGCACCTGGGGCTGCGCTGAGGGTCAAGAATTATTTTGAGGTTCTCAATGGTCATGCCGCTCATCTTGTGTTTTTGAGGTTCTAAATGTTCTCACTGCTCACTTTGTTGGGTTTTGGGGTCCTGTAACCTGATTTGTCTGTGCCCAGGGCTGTGCTGAGGTGTGCAGAATTATATTTTGGGGTTCTAAAGGGTCACGCTGTTCACATTGTTTGGGTTTTTGAGGTTTTAAATAGTCTCACTGTTAATTCTTTGAGGTTTCAGGGGGGATCACTGTATTTTGGGGTCCTGTAATGTGATCTATTTGTACCCGGCACTACGTTGAGGGGTCAAGAATTATTTTGATGTTCTCAATGGTCATGCCGCTCATCTTGTTGGGTTTTTGAGGTTCTAAACGGTGTCACTGCTCACTTTGTTGGGTTTTGGTGGTGATTTCTGCATTTTGGGGTCCTGTTACCTAATTTGTCTGTACCTGCACTGCGCTGAGGGGTCAAGAATTATATTTTGGGGTTCTAAAGGGTCATGCTGTTAACCTGATTGGGTTTTTAAGGTTCTAAATAGTCTCATTGTTCATTATTTCAGGTTTTGGGGAAATCACTGTATTTTGGGGTCCTATATTGTGATCTGTTTGTACCCAGGGCTGCGCCAAGGGGGCAAGAATTATTTTGAGGTTCTCAATGGTCATGCCGCTCATCTTGTTGGCTTTTTGAGGTTCTAAACGGTCTCACTGCTCACTTTGTTGGGTTTTGGGGTCCTGTAACCTGGTTTGTCTGTACCCAGGGCTGTGCTGAGGGGTCAAGAATATTTGTGGATTCTAACGGGTCATGCTGTTCACATTGTTGGGTTTTTAAGGTTCTAAATAGTCTCACTGTTCACATTACAGAACCCCAAAATATAGTGATCCCCCCCTAAAACATGAAAGCGTGATCTGTTTGTATCCAGGGCTTCGCTGAGGGATCAAGAATTATTTTGAGGTTCTCAATGGTCATGCTGCTAATTTTGTTGGGTTTTTGAGGTTATAAACAGTCTTACTGCTCACTGTTGGGTTTTGTGGGTAATCGTTGCATTTTGGGGTCCTGTAACCTGATTTGTCTGTACCTGGGGCTGTGCTGATGGGTTATTGATATTTTGGGATTCTAAAGGGTCATGCTGTTCACCTTGTTGGGTTTTTAAGGTTTTAAATAGTCTCACTTTTCATTCTTTCAGGTTTTTGGGGGGGGATTACTGTATTTTGGGGTCCTGTAATGTGATCTATTTGTATCCGGGGCTACGCTGAGGGGTCAAGCATTATTTTGAGGTTCTCAATGGTCATGCCGCTCATTTTTTGGGGTTTTCGAGGCTCTAAACGGTCTCGCTGTTAGGTTTTGGGGGTGATCTTTGCATTTTGGGGTCCTGTAACTTGATTTGTCTGTACCTTGGGCTGTGCTGAGGAGTTAAGAAGGATATTTTGTGGTTCTAAAAGGTCACGCTGTTAACCTTTTTTGAGGTTCTAAATAGTGTCACTGTTCATTCTTTCAGGTTTTGAGGGAACACTGTATTTTTTGAGGTCTTGTTTTGTGGTCCATTTGTACCTGGGGCTGCACTGAGGGATCAAGAATTATTTTGAGGTTCTAAATGGTCATGCCGCTCACCTCGTTTGGTTTTCAAGGTTCTGAACGCTCTCACCGTTCCGTTTGATTTTGGGGAATCACTGTATTTTGGGGTACTGTAACGTGATTTATTTGTACCTGGGTCTGTGTTTGAGGTGTCTGGGTTTTGGGGGGCTAAACTGGCTCTCGACGCTCACTTTGTTGGGTTTTTGGGTATCTCTGTATTTTGGTGCCCCAAGGAATATGGACATTCACATTGGTTTGATGTCTAATGTCACCTGTAACTGTGTGAAGGGGCTAAAGCCCAAGTTGGGTCCTGCGATTCATTTTTGAGGAGACTAGAGGGATTTAGAATTACTTTTAGAGGCTCTAAATGGTCACCCCATTCCTTTTGGCTTTTGGGGAGTCACTGTTTTGGGGTACAGTAACAATCGATGCTGAACATTAACATAGGTTTGACATCTTCTTTCACTTGTAGCCAGGTATGCAGAGGGGGCTGAGGCCAATGTTAGGTCCTGGGATTCATTTAGGAGGAGACTAGAGGGAACTAGAATTGCATTTCATTGTTCTAAATGGTCAAACCACTCATTTTGTTGTGTTTTGGGGATCACTATATTTTAAGGTGCAATAACAAAGGAAGATGAACATTGATATGGGTTTGACGTCTTCTGTCACTTGCACTGGAGCTAAAGCCCATCTTTGGTTCTAGGATTCCTTTTTTGGGAGGACTGATTATTCAGTGAGCCTTTAATATAAATATATATATTTATCTGTTTGTACCTGGGCTGCAACGAGGGATCAAAAATTATATTGTGGGGTCCTAAATGATCATGCTGTTCACCTTGTTGGGATCTTGAGGTTATTAATAGTCTCCCCATTCAGTTTGTTTTTGGGGGAATTTCTGTATTTTGGAGCCTTGTGACGTGAACTATGTGCACCCGGTGCTGCGTTGAGGGGTCAGGAT